AAAAACTAAAAACTAAATAAGTAAATAAATATTAAAAAAAAAAAAAAGAACTGACTGGAGGTAAGGATTGTGCAACATGGTGAATGTATAAATGTCACTGGAATGTATACCTTCAAATGACTGGTGTTTTGTTATGTAAATTTTATCTTAGTTTTTTTTTTTTTAAAGCAGATTCTTTAGACCCCATTTTCAAAGATTTTGACTCAGCACATCCAGCAGGAGGCCCAGAATCTGAGTTTTCAACATGTACTTGAAATGCCTCTGATGTAGGTAGTTCAGGGACTATGTTTGAGAAACATCACTAAACCATGTAAGTCCTCTTATTAATATTTTTCCATAATATCTTTCCTCTTTTTTTCCTAATATACATCATAATTGTAATTTCTTATCCAGAAACTCTTTCTCCCCTAGACTGTAAACTCCATGAGGGCAGGGTTTATGTCTTCCTTATTCATCATTTCCTTAGCATTTAAAAGAAGTACCTGAACAGTACACATGTTCAGTAGATACTGGGTGAATTGAATGACTGAATTGGATTATCTAGAAGGAAGCAAAGTACAAGTTGAAAGGCACAAGGGGTCCTTGAGCCCAAGAACCTACAGTCTAAATGGTCCAAGATTTAAAAGTCCTTGTTTCCATGACTCTCACTGTATGGGGGAGTGTATCAGCCCACCATGTAGAAATCAGTTGAAACTATGGTTTGAATGTTTCCTCCAAAACTCAAGTTAGAATTTATTTTCTGGTGCTGGAGATCAAACCCAGGACCTCCTGCATGCTAGACAATTGCTGTACCACTGAGCTGAACTCCCATCTGTACTGAAGACTGAACCCAGGGGCTCTTTGCCACTGAGCTACATTCCCAGACCTTTTTATTTTATTTTACTTTTTAATTTTGAGTAAGGATCTTGCTAAATTGCTAAGGATCTCACTAAGTCACTGAGGCTAGCCTGAAACTTGGTGATCCTCCTGCCTCAGCCTCCAGAGTTGTTGAGATTACAGGCATGCACCACCACCGTCAGGCCCCAAATTGAAATGTAATTGCCACTGTAACAGTGTTGAGGGGTAGGCCCTTTAAGAGATGATTAGGTCAAAAGTGAGTTTGTTATAACTTCTGACCCTCTTGTCCTCTCTTTCTCTCTCTCATGCATGCTCTCTTGCCCTTCCACCAAGTTGTGGTACAGCAAGAAGACCCTTGCTAGATGTAGCCCCTTGATCTTGGACTTCCCAGCTTCGGAACCATGAGCCAAAGAAACTTTTATTTTTTTGTTTGTAATTTTCTCAGCCTGTGGTATTATGTTATAGTAGCAGAAAGCAGATGAAGATAGTTGGAAAGACAGGCCTTGTGCAGTACCCCAAACTGGGCTCCCCTTGGGGAGGCACGTCTAGGAGCTCATGGCCAGACATGGGCAGAGCAGTCTTGGTTCTGAGACTCCTGAGGCTGGCTTCCGGGGGGCACAGCTCTGTTGGCATCTCCTAGCCACAAAACTCTAGCCAGGTTTTCCTGGCCTGCCTGGCTGATTCTAGTGCCTTTTGGCTGGGTGACCACTCTTACTCTTGGCTGCTTCCACAGTGCCTTAGAGCACATGGTCAGCAAAATGATTTCCCTCACCATTACTGAACTGGCTCTGGGTCAACCTACTGTCGTCTGTGCTGGCTTCTGAGGGCTTGCCAACATTGCAGGAAGCCGATGCAGCCAGGAGGGTGTAGGTGAGATATCCAGGGGACTTCCGAAGCCTCAGACCTTGTCCCCTCACACAAAGTCAGCATTCTGCAATTTTCTCCTCATTGCTCTTAGCCGGTCATCCAGGCCCCCTAGATCTGATCTTATGACCAACCTCTTTGATTTCTCTCCCTTCCCTCTGTGTGTTCTCTGAGGGGCAGAATGAAGTTTTCTAACTCTGCACTGAGTTTATGACTATCAATTAATCCTAAATCAATCAATACTTCCCACCTATGTAAATACACACATGTATACACAGAAGCTACAAAAATAGGCAGTCAATATGCTTCAAAGAAAAAATAGAATCTTTTCTTAATGGTATCATTGGCTAACTGTATGAAATTCTCTCAAAGCCCTCAAATTCTTCCCTTGACATGAAAAAAAAAAAAAAAATCAGCTCCTTTGAGCATCTACTACAACCACCTGGAAGTGATGCTCAGTGTTTTACATGTTGCCTCATTCAGTTCTCGGGCACCACACACACTGTCTAAAACATGTCCATGCACAGTTTAATAAATAATTATGTCCCACAATAAGTTAAAAAGCACCTGTTCATATATCTGTGATGAACATTCCTTTGTTTTTTTTTTTTTTTTGGTGTGTGTGTGTGTGTGTGTGTGTGTGTGTGTAGTGCTAAGGAGGAGCCTGTGCATGCTAGTCAAGTGATCCACCACAGAGCCCCAGGCCCCTTGCTTTCTTTATACTTTTATTACTTATGTATGCATTCCTAAATGATATAGTTTTGTCTATTTTTGAAATATAAGTGAATGGAATCACACTGTATACGTTATTTGAGTTTTTAAACTTCCTCTTATTTTTGTGAAGTTAATGAATTTAGGTTGTTTTATGTATCTGAAGTTAATTGAGGTTTATTGCTGCACATTCCGTGTGTAAAATACCACAAGTGATCTTTCCATTCACAATAGAAGGGATTTGACTTCTATTCCTTTTTTGGACTTTATGAACATTCTTATGCATGAGTTTTGATGTATTGGGGTTCAAAACCCTAAGGCATATGATTAATACTGGAATCACAATATCAAAGATTATTAGTATCTTAACAGCTTTAATGGACAAGTCCAAAGGTTGTTTTCCAAAGGGGTTGTGATGTTGTGCTTATTCCTCTCATCCTACTGATGAGGAAACCAAGGCTCAGTTCCTTAGTAACTTAGGGTCACCAGTTCAAAGAGGGTAGAGCTGAAAGTATATTAAATCAATCTGATTTCAAAACCTATGCTCTTGACCAACTCACTGTCTACCCTCTTTTAAAAATTAAGTTACATCCAACTGGTATAACTAGGAAGCCAGTAATAACTCAGTAACTTAAATAATAGAAATGCATTTTTCCCCTCACATAATGACCCGAAGAGTGTTTCAGGTCAGCAGGCAGCCCTGTTCCATATGGTCATTAGAAATCAAGGATCCTCTACTGCCTTGTTATAAGGGGCATGGTTGAGGTCAGATTGTTGCCATGTCTGAGATCCAGCTGGGAGAGTGTGGGAGTATGAGCAAGGTTTAATGTATGTGTAAGGTATTACAGACATGGCACTTGTAAATGAAGGCTAAGGGCATGTGGTCAGACACGGTGAGCTTAGAATCAAATCAGTCTCAGATATTCAGCCATATTCTCCTCAGCAAGGAGATATTCACTTAGCATGCGCAGAGAAGGTTGGATTTGAAGGAGTCTACATAGGGAAGGAATGTGGACCCACAAAGGATGGTGCTATGGGATGGCTTTCCATTGCAAGTGATCTCCATTCTACTCAGGATTGTATGTAAGAGCCTGGGGCCTTAACAACAACAYGTCTTAAGGGACTTGGTCTGTGGAAATTGTGTTTGCTTACATCCCAATAGTTCTATACAGTGGTCTGTAGGTCTCCTAATGCCAGAGGCATCTTCCACTAAAAGAAGCTGTGCCTGTCTGGGAGGTCTGCATAGGTAAAAGACTGGACAAGATGACATCTAGGTCCTTTCCCAATCTGGGCCTACATTCCAAAGTCAAATGGAAATTGTTCTAAAGTGTCTGGCATTCTGAATCAACTTTTCGACTTTTTTCCTGCCTCATGGTAAAGAAAGTACCTCTCTCTGTCAGGCTTATGATCTATCCTGGAACCCTAGGGGAGAAGCTGGAGGGGACACTGGTGGGAGGACAAGGTGGTGGGATTGGGTAAGGATCACTTGGATAGATCTCTTAACTACTCTCAGCCTCAGTTTTCTCATCTGTAAAGTGTGCCTATGTCTGAGAAAGAAGTAATAATTATCCCTATTTTACAGATGCAGAATCTGAGGCTTGGAGAAGTGAACTTGCCCAGGAATTTGCTATGGAAAGCAGAATCAGGATTCAGGATTCAAGCCCAGACAGTCTGACTCCAGAGTCAGAATTGATAATTACCAAAGTATCAATGTTGGGGTGCTGGAAAGCGGGTGTGTGTGTGTGGGGGGGTAGGGTAAACTGCTACATTTAACAGAACAACCATTGTTAGATGTTCTCTGGCTTCCCAGTAGATTAGAACGAGTGTTTTCGCATGAAGGAAACATGGTATTTGGGTACAGTGAGGATGAGGAACACTCCACCCCATCTGTCTCGCTCATAGTTGCTTTCTTGGGAGTAAAGCTGCGTTGAAGCTCAATGGTATAGCCTTGCCTAGCCTGGGTAAGGCCCTGGGTTCAATCCCCAGCACCAGGGAGGGCCGCTTATTCTTTCTAGCGTTGGCAGCCTCTGGCAGGCCCCAAGTAGTGGAACGGCCACATTAACACGGCCTGAGGCGCCTGCCCCCCAGCAAGGAAGCCTTGGAGCGGCCTCTCTGCAGGCACTGAAGCTCTGTCCCCAGCAGCCAAGGTTTGGAGGAGGGAGGAGGGGTGCAGCGGTTGCTACGGTTTATGCTCCTCCAGAGCTTCAGAGCAAGATTTCCCCAAAAAGCCATATTAAATAAATAAAAGGAAATTCAGCAGATGGGAACATGAATCAATGAAAACTCCCATATGAGTGCAAAGATTTATGTCAAAAAACAAAACATCAACATCTGGGAGCTGCCGCGTCTTCTCTTGGCTGCTCGTTTGGAATGGATTCTCGGTGTCGCTTTCCGCCTCTTTCTGGCCCTGGGAGAGGACGAAAAGAAATAAAGAATGAAGCCCATTTAAAAAGAGTCGTTTTTAATCAGAAATGAACGCTGCTTTCCCCCTCAACGCTGGAGGAGACGTGAAGCAGGCGCAGGGCTGCGGGCTCAGTCCTGGGAGCGCGGGGAGGGAGCCCTCTGCCGGAGGCTGCCGGGCGCCCCTCCCTGCCCAACCCGGGGCGGCTCCCGGGTGGGATGCCTCCAGATTTCACAGCTGCGGTGGCAGCAGCAGCACCCGTCGCACTGCACCGCACTGGGCTGCAAGGCGGCGCCTGGTTGGTCGCGTGGACGGGAGCCCAAACCAGGCAACTCTGGCCACTTCTACAGGCAGTCGCCACTGGAGAGCACGTCTGACCAGGGCAAAGGTATACCTGGGTTCCTCCAGTCTAGAGGATAAGCATCAGCGACAAGTAGCAAAGCTGGAATGTGCACCAAAGATGGAAGTCCGCACTTAATTCTTAGACCCGGTGCAGGAATTAAGAAGGTAGATGTTGGGCCCTAACGTGTGGGTTCAAATCCCAACTACGTTAGCACCATCTGTGTGATCCAGAGCAAGTTTACCATCCCGAGTCAGGATTTTCCTCACCTGTAAAATGGGAATAATAGCACCAAAAAAGTGAAAAGTAACTGAGAAAACATGCATGCAAAGTACTTAGCACAGTGCACATATACATAAAATTGAGTAAATTTTAACTAGTATCATTCAAAAAAAAAAAAAAAGGCTCTGCATAACCTGTGCTCCCAGCTCTGCAACCTTCTAGAGGCCACTGAATTCCTCCATTATCGGGTTCTAGTCACATAAGCCTTGTTTTCCATCCAGCAGACTCAGTACCTTCAGCCTCAGGACTTTTGCACATTCCCTCTGCCTCAAAGATTTTTTTCACCTTCTGCTTCAACCAAGCCTCTGTGTGTTTGTGTTTTGCTGGGGATTGAACCCAGGGCCTCTTACATGCTAGGCAAGTACTCTAACACTGAGCTACATCCCTAACCTACAGCCTGTCCTTTCTTTGGGCCTACATTACTTGTTACATGGTGTGGCAAATTCCTTCCAATTCTTTCCTCCCCCAAAAGTGATCCTCCTGTTCTATGTTGTCACAGCAGCAGGTTTCTCCTTACTTGCAAGTTTCCCAGTTGAAATGTAGCATTGGTTTTGTTAAGCGATTAATGTCTTTCACCCTTTGGACGGTTCACCAGGCTAGGAGCTCAGTCTGTTGCATTTGCTGCGGTATCTCCAGCCTCTAGGACATCGAGGGACCTAGGCCCTCCACTTATGGGGAGTAACCAGAGTGGATGATGGGACTCTGAGGCCGAATGAATCCTGGGTCTTCTATATTGTTTCACCACTTCCTTCCAATAAACAAGTATTAAGATCATCCATATACCAAGTCCTATGCTGGACACAAGGGACATAGACCCATACAGTTCTTTGATTTAATGGAGCTTATCATCCAAAGGCAACCACAGATATGTAAACAGAGGACTAAACAGATGGGGTAGAGATGGCAGTCAGGGTGTGTGTGTGGAATAGGGGTTGTTATTCCTGCAAGGCCAGGGCCCTAGGGCTCAGATCATGTAAGTGAATAAAACTGAGTGCTTTCCCTGCATTATCTTACTAAAATTCAACAATTAGACTCGTTGTTGAATTACCACCCCTTCAGTATCTCCATTTTTTGTTTGTTTATTTTTGTGTTGCTGGGGATTGAACCCATGGCCTTGGTCATATAAGGCAAGCACTCTACCAACTGAGCTATATCCCCAGCCCTTCATCATCCCTGCAGTACAGAGGAGACAGAGAAGTTAACTGATGACCTAGGACCACAAAGACAGTAATGGCAAAGGCAGGATGCACAGGCACATTCTGACTCAGAGTCAGAGCGCTGAACTATTTGGCAGGGCAGCCTCCCTGCCCCACTCCCCATCTCTGTGCTGGTGGGAGGAGAGCACTGCCCTCCAAGATTCCTGTTGCAGAAATGTCTCCAGTAGAGCAGGGCTGTTGGGCCCTAGAAAGCTGTACACTCTACACGTGGGGCTTGGTGATGAATGTTCACAAGGGTGCAAAGGGGATCTGTAATAGCTCAGCTAAAAACAGGAGTGCTTCTGGCCTCCAGAAGTGCACCAAAACCCCAGCACTTGAGGGAGGCCCCAGCCAGAGCCTGGCACAATGCCCTGAGGATGCAGCTCACACTTTTCACACACTCTTGAAGCACTGAAGATCCTGCGACATCTCTCACTACCCCGGGCTATTTTAGATTGGATTCCCATCCTCCATGTGCCTCTAATGGCAGCCCTGCCTGCCCTTCTGAGTCCCAAGAGTCAGCCAGCACAGGACTTGGGGGCTTACAGGAGCACTGCTCTTTGGAGTCTTCTCTCCTGAGGCCTGACTGAGGTCAGGTTCCTTCGAGAATTTGATGAGACCATCCATCTTTTTCAGGCCCCCCACTCTCAGTTCTCTTGGGGAAAGGTGCATCTTTCCCCAGTATCTGGAGAATTCTGACAGGTGGATATGAGATCCCAGCAGAACATCTAAGGGAAAAGGCTAGCAGGGGATCTAGGACTGAAACTCAGGAAAGAGGACAAGGTAAGGCTAATCATTGTTACCACCGATTGAGTTCTTTCTGTGCGCTGGACATTGTGCCAACTAAGCACTTTATATGCACCTCAATTCACAGATGAGGAATTAAGGCTCACAAATTCAAGTAACTTTCCCAAGTTTACACAATCAGAAAGTAGTGGAAGATTCAAACACAGGCCATTAGGATTCTAGAACCTAAGTTCTTAACCACTATATTCTCATTTAGGAGTAAAAAAAACCAAAAAACAAAACAAAACAAAAACCACAAAAAAACAAAAGGGAGCTTCAGAAAAGAGCAAAGAACTGAAATGTGATGCTTGCGCTAGGGGTCAGAAGAAGGAAGAAGCAATAGCAGAGACAGAAAAATGATCAGATGGTAAACAAACAAGCAAGATGCAGTACAAGGGAAACTGCAGAAGAGACAGACTCCAGCCCTGATGCAAGAGGGTGATTTTTAATAGGACCTGGTGACTAGCTGGGTGTGGGAGTATCAGACACCTTTGGGGTGTCTGCGCAGATCACAAGAAATCCACAAGGAAGGAAGGAAGGAAAGAAGGAAGGAGAGGGAGAGGGAGAGAGAGAGATTACTCAATTTGTTGACTCCTGAGTCTCTAGTTCTAGTTTTTCCTGGCTGCCAGCTCTATCCTGATTGTGGGGTTCATTAGATATCCCCCCTGCTACCCTGGTAAAGCTTTTCAAAAGCTATCCTCAATGAGTTTCTAGCATTTGCAGTGAGAGTCAAAACTAATGTGGGCGTGGGAGGGACAGAAGGGAATTGAATCACCCCTCTTTCTTGCCTGGATGGCTTAGAGAATTGATACAATAGAAAACGAAGGAGCAGGATGATGAGGTTCTGTATGTAAAATTTAAGGAGTTGAGTCAAGTGCTCTGGATCCAAAGGCCCACTGGGGATTAATGAGGTGAGCTTTGATGATCCTTGTGACTCTGCATCAGAAGAACAAGGATAAAAACTGGGAGACATGGATGAAGAGCAAGGAAGTTGTATAGAACTGGGAAGCAGAATGTGTGTTGACTAAGAAATCTGGTGGTAGACAGAAATGAACAGAATAGGAGCAGAAAAGGGCAGGAGGATCAAGTAAAGAGCTCTTCACCTAAGATAAGTAAGCCCTGGTCTATTTCATAGGCAGAAAGAAAAAAAAAATCTAGTAAAGAGATGTATGCTTTAGCATGAGGAAAAGGATAATAATAGCAACAAGGTTCTACAAGAGACAGGAAGGGAATGGGCCTGAGAATAAACAGGGTTTGGCCTTAGAAGAAGGGGAAGACTCAGACCTCTCCAACTGAGTCCATGTCCTTGTCATTTCCTCGAAGCCATAATCAGGCCTTACGTTTATTTGTATAGTATGTGACTAACATCAGAGTACGCTCACAGCGCCTCTCAAGTTAGTCCTCATCTATCATCAGCATCGCATGCAGCTACTATTCATTGACTGCACTGCTCCATCTTACAGATGAGAAAACTGAGGGAACTATTATAATTAACTTGACCAAGATAACCTGGCTGGTCTTTAGGAGAGCTACGTTGGATGTGAGACACGCCAGTTTCAGAGCCTCTGCCCTTCTGCCTCCTGACATTTTCAAAGGGTTGACAATGGTTGCCTCTGGGGAGCAGAACTAGAGACTGGAGAGCAGGGAGCCGAAGTCTGCTGGGTTTGATATAAACCTTTAGTACTATTTGACTTCTTACTGGAGTAGTAGCTCTTTCAATGACCTTCTATGCCCTCCCCTACATTATCTTTTCATTGGTAATGAAAAGATAATTTAAATTTTATATATCTTTTCATCTGAGGGGTCAGATCTATTGAACTTGTCATGCTCCCTGATCCCTACCAGCAGGCTCTTCCTTAACACATTTCACACTTAAATATAAATTGTTTGACCGTCTGACCAAGCCCATGTCCAGATCCCTGCCAGGTAGCAGGTTTTCTACATGTCCTTTTAAAAATAAATGAAACAAAACAAAACATTTGTATAAAGGAATTTGCATTCCTATATAAAAAAAAAATCCCCACTAATAAAAAAACATCTAAAGAACCCAAGTCAGTGCTGAGGTGATGACCCAGCCTTCTCAATGATGAAGGTGAGGCCGCTGGCCTAGAAGAGACAGTGAAAATGAAGACTTTCTCTCTCCAATCTGTCCCCCACACAGTAGCCAAAGTCCTTTCTTTGTTCCTCTGGCCTGGTTACTCCTCTGCTAAAACCCTTCCTAGGTGTTCCTTGCCCTCTGACCAAGTCCAGACAACTCTAGGGCCTTATGATCTGGCCCCATACCTCTTCGGATGAAAGGAGTGTCACTATTCTATGCCCCCAACCCACCCGTGCCAACTCTGACCCCCCATAACCACAGTAATTGTTTTTTTTAATCAGAGATTGAACTCAGGGGCACTTGACCACTGAGCCGCATCCCCAGCCCTATTTTGTACTTTATTTTAGAGACAGGATCTCACAGTCTTAGCTCAGCACCTTGCTTTTGCTGAGGCTGGCTTTAAACTTGAGATCCTCCTGTCTCAGCTGCCCTAGCCGCTGGGATTACAGGTGTGTGTCACCACGCCTGGCTCACAGTGATCTTAAGTTGTGCTTTCTTTGCGAAGCTGTGTTTTCTGTGTCTCCCTGGGACTTTGCATCAGCTATTTCCTTTTCCTGTACTGTACCTTCCCTTCATCATCACCTGGCTAGTTTCTAATCCTCACCATTCAGGTTGGTCATTGTAGATGCAGCTGCTTCGGAGTCTTCCCAACTTCCATGCCTAGGTCTGGGTCTCTCCTTGTTCCAATAGTGCTGTGTGTGTGTGTGTGTGTGTG